GAACATCAAACTTATTCTCAACTGTCCTAGTGAAAGTTTTTATTGGTATCTATTTTTATTTTTGAAATTTACCAGTAGCTGCTGCATTTCCCACCCTAGGCTTATACTCGAGTCAATAAGTTTTCCCAGTTTTTTTGTGGTAAAATTAGGTGCCTCGGCTTATATTCGGGTCGACTTATACGCGAGTATATACGGTAGTTGATAACTAAAATAAGCAGTATTCTAACCTATACTTGTAATTTAACTTTAGTTTAATTAGCCCCAATTTCAGTTGATTCTCAGTTTTATTTTAAATCTCTTTTATATTCCTGTTCAAAGTATTGGTGAAAGAGTACACAATCGTTTCACAGTTAAGAATTTAATATTTCAATAATTTCAAACTGTAGCCATGGTTGGGAAAAGAGGACAGATATTGAAAATGTGCAATATATTCTAATCTCTGCATAGGAATATAAAATAGATTATTCTCTACTTAATCACTGCTACTAAATTCATTACAAGAAGGAATATTGGCATTTAAGTGGCCTTGCCTACTAGTCTTAGTCACATGAAATAATCAGCAGAGCAAATCCATCTATTGAAATAAAATGTGCGTATATATGTATATTACTGATAGATCTGTTTATAATGCACTTACAAACCACAGAAAATGTCATCACGCAAAATTTATTTAGTATCATTGTCATGCTTATGAAATTAATCAAAAGCCACAATTTATAAGCAGTAATGTAGTTTTATGGGATGCCTAAGATATATGGTGGGATCATAGGCTAAAGGAGAGAGGGCAGTAAAAAGTCATTCCAGCATGGAATTACTGTGTGGGAAGAAATGAAAGAAGCCAGACTTGATGCCTTTATCTGCCATTTCCAAAAGAAATGCAGTCAGACTGGTGAGATTCTTGTAACTAGGTGATCAACAATAAAGAAACTGCTTTGGTCAATGCAAGTAATGGTTCTGATTCCTTGTACCTGACAAACCTTATTTAATATATTACATCAAATATTTTATTATGTTTGAATACTTTGATTTTTTCTATACCTTCAGAAGCTTGTTCCTCCTATGCTTGCGTGCATATTTTGTGATTATCCTGAATTAGGAAATCCATGATTCAAAATTGTGATTGCCTTCAGATACATTGTATTTATTATGACCATTATTTTTTAAAAAGTCAATTCATATAAAGTCAAAGCATCCACATTTTATTGTCAATGCAGAACAAGGTGAAACTAATCTTGAATAGCAGAAAACCAAATAAAATCAGCTATTCATATATTTACTACATTTCCATAGCAGTATATAAGCATAAATTTTTATTTTATATAAATGTGTATGAAAAGTTGAGATCCCTACTGAGTATCCATATTAACAGAATAATCCTTATAGCATTAGGATGTTCCCGTTCTCCAGCAATGCCGTGAGGTGTTGAGGAATCAAAAAGCTGCTGTGCTGTTTATAACACAACATAGGCTGCTTTGCAGCTAGTATCTTGTCGGTTTTGATACTCTTTCCTTCGATTATATGAAACAGAAGAAGTCTTAAACATAGTTAGATTAAATCTTTAGGATATCACACATCTTTTATTAAAGTGAAAACACAACCAAAAAGTTTTCACTCATTGTGTATATTGAGAGCCAATTTTATAAGTAGATAAGGTGTTGGACTAGAGCCTGAGGAGATTTGGGTCAAGGATGTGATTGTGTGAAAAATTGGAGAAGGAAGTATAGCCTGTCTTGAGCTTTTGAAAAAGGAGAGGAGGGGAAGGAATACACACATGCATACGTATAATATAATAAATGCTGTCTTTCCTAGTTGAACAGGGAATTATATCTATTTTGAGAGCTCCCATATCATCTGCAGGTAGCAGGTTTTAAGGCAGCACTGTAAAACTCCCAGCCCACTCCCGGTTTAGCAAAGGGGGAAAAAGTCCCAGTACGTCACATGATGCAGCCATTATGACATGAGTTTGACACCCCTGCTTTAAGGAGTACCTCTTTTTTGGGAAGGAATGCTGAAATCTTAGAAATGAAAGTACATAGTTTCTACCTGCTTCCAGTGCACGAGGTGCGAACTAGTAGAGAACAGAATTGATAGGTTATGTGGATTCCAAATGTTGATGGAAATCAACACACTCAAATAAATGTGAATATTTTGCATATACACCTGTCACAGCCTTATTGAATGTTTAATTCTTTGCAATCTTCATCATGCAAATGCCATCAGTAATTAAAGGATGTAGATACTTCATAAACTTCTAACTATTTCTTGATGATGCATTTTTTCATAGTGATTTACTTGTCTGATTTGATATCATTTAAATAAGAAAAATTATAAAATATGTAACAATATCTAAAATTCCTTTTTTTTAAAAAAAATGTCATTGTAGTATATAGTGGAATGTCATGGAAACACACTACTTCCACAGTTTTTGGGCATGTACCGGCTTACTGTTGATGGAATTGAAGTGTACATGATTGTTACAAGAAATGTATTCAGCCACCGTTTATCTGTTTATAGAAAATATGATTTAAAGGTAAGCACTTTTTTTTCCTATAGGCATTATAGTAATTCTGTTAGTAGTTCTGCTGATAAAGAAGGAGGGAGGGAGGGAGGGAGGGAAGGAAGGAAGGAAGGAAGGAAGGAAGGAAGGAAGGAAGGAAGGAAGGAAGGAAGGTTCTATTAGATACTTTAAAGCTAGTAATTACAGTGCATTAAAACATTTCAACAAATAATCCTTTTGAGATGTGTTTATTAAAATAACATTTTCAGTTTATCCAGCAAAACCTTTTATGAAAATAATATAATGTGTGTTGTAAAGAGAAATACTAGCTGAAGTGGATAAAGAGGTGATTATGCAGTTGTTGTTTGAAGTCTGATTGTTCAAATTAGTTTATCATATCCTGCTTCATTTCCTTAGGCTTAGGCTTAGGAAGTGAGGTGGCTAGGGGGAAAAAAACCCTTACACATGAGATTAATTGACTTCTGTCAACTAACCTTCACAGTACTTTACTTTAAGCAGTTGATGTATGCTGTATTAGCAGAAGAAAATATTGCTTTACCATAAAACATTTTAAAAGATTTTCAGATTTGCTAAGAGATACTGATATAACTGCAGATTACAGAATTCAGTTTGTAGAATGTAAATTATCAATGTTTTATTGATCTACATTCTTTAAAAAATATAATAATTAACCCTTTGCCTGGTTGTTCAAAAGTCAATATCAAGTTTATTTCACACCCTTGGATGTGAAAATGTGCCATTTTCTCACTTCAGTAGAATTTCTATCTCCCTGTCAACTATGAATGGGTAACAGACTTAAGAATCATAAATATTTTAGCTTCTGAACCTATAAATATTATCCAAGTGGAAATCAAGGCCATTTCATTAGATGTGGCGTAGAATTTACTAGTGAAAGTTTGCTATAAAGTTCCCAGAGGAAAACTAGGGTATACAGGTAGTCCTTATCCTGCAACAATTTATTCAGTGACCATTCAAAGTTACAATGGCATTGAACAAATATTGATTACGATCAGCTCTCAAGAGTTCCAGATGTCTCAGCACCCCATGGTCATGACTGCTACCTGGGTGCTTGGCAACTGGTTTGCCCTCACATTTACAACCAATTGTAGTGCCTGAGATCATATAGTCACCATTTGTAATTCTCCCTATTACTTACCTAGAATGTCAGTGGGGAAACCAGCAGGGAAAGGGGTAAGTGTCCCCCATCCACACACCCTTCTCCAGCCCTTTTGCACTTGTGCCACTCCAGCCACTTTCACACCATTGCTCACTTTCCCCAACCACTTCCACACCATTGCTCATCAACCTAACTGCCGACACACTCTTCCTCCCTTATCTGCATCTTTTCCGCATACTGTCATGCTCTTGATTATTTGACCACAGTTCCTTGATTAATGATCGTTCATTCAGAAACTTTTTGAAGTTATGGCTGCACTGAACAAATGGTTCTTAGGCCCACATGATCAAAATTCAGTTGCTTGATAGTCAGTCTGCACTTATGACTAGTGGAACACTTCAGTTCATCCCACCTGCCAATCTCCCTCCCATCTCTGCTTTTTTGGCATTTCTGGCAGTAGTGGGACTGAAGGAGAGGCCCGGGCCATTAGTGATATGAGTTGAAAGCCGCCACTCCTGGGCTTCCACTTCAACCCTGGCACTGCTGGCACTGCCACCATCACTGAGGAGTGTTTTCTCTCGATTGCCATGAGATTAAGCCATGGCCAGCCATAGTACAAAGCTCCTGTCGCACCCAATGCCTCCATCATCTTCCTCCCACTGCTGACAAGGCACAATCAGCCTGTCCCAAGGCAAGACAAGGTCCTCTTCCCAAGGCAGCGTAGGCCTTCTCCAAATCACATGGGCCTTGAGGTGCTTTGGAAAGGCGTGACATCATGCTCTATAACTGCATCGGTTAGCAGCGGAGGTTCTCGTCCCAGTTGCTATCGTTAACTAAGGACTACCTGTAGGAAAATGACAGTTTACCTTTTGAACTTTATTATGATGCTACTTGTGACAATATTAAATGAGAGCTAGGTGCTCCCCCCACCCCCCTACTCTACATCTGATTTTGGTAACTGGTATAAGAGTAAAATATAATGTATAACTTTTGGTAAATGTGTTACCATTTTAATTTTCACAGCTATAATTCTTTATTTTGAATTAGCATAAAACATTAAATTTCACTATCCTCTAATCGTGTCAATATTTTAAAATATTTGACACATATTTGGTTAATTGGTTGTTAACATTTTAGAATCATTTTTTAAAAAAATTAATACACACTATATATCACTTTGAAAGTAAGTTACAAGTGAATTATCCAGGGAGGGGGAGAGTTGTGGGGTAGATACATGCTTACATAATAGATACATCTGTGCACATTATAAAACAAGGTGACAACTGTTTTATTAATACCAATACTTTAAATTCCTTCCAGAGGTATAAGGAAGACCATTAAAACTCGCATTTTTGAACAGGCTAAAATTTAAGAGATATCTATAGAAACAGGTTAATGCATGTAATAGTTTATAAGAATTGTGTGTGACTTTTACCACAGCATTGCTAACCAGGGGACACTTCCTCTATAGAAGAATGCTGACATGCTAGTAGCTGATGGACTTAGAATTAGTAAAAGAAAATAGTAATAGGACCAAGAAAATCCAAATCTCCATGAAGAGAATTTTCTTTTGTTATAATATTTTAATTTAGTATGTTTGAATTGTATATTTGTTCATAATGAAATACAGTAAGTTTGAGGGTCTGGAATAAGTCCTAGAAGGCTGATGGTGAAAACATTTCTATAAGTGTGTTATTCAGTGTTCTAGTAACAAAACGTGCTATGTTTTTCTTCCAGGGCTCAACAGTAGCAAGAGAAGCTAGTGACAAAGAAAAGGTGGGGCAAAGCTATATTTATATACTTAGTCATCTGCCTTCAACTTATAAGAAAGGGCAAATGTATGTTAATTGTGGAGTATTCTTGGCAGCCTTCTTAGGTGCAATTCTACAACTACTTAACCATCATGACACACTGATCTCAAATTAAAACCAAAACCTTGTGAGGCTTCACTTATTGGTGGCAGAGTACATCCAGCATGATTTTATTTTAATCAAATCTTATGTAATTTCATTAGACTATAACTTCAGTTTTTTTCTAAGCTGCCTTAGAAACCTGCTGAAGAATGGAATATAAATAAATTATGCCAACTGTTGTCAATGAAAGCATCATGATAATGTTGAGAATGGGAAAAATTTATTTAAAACTATTTATAGATCTGAAACGCCTCAGTTTTGACAAAAGTACTAGAATTCGGAAGCTGTAAATTTAAAAAACACATGGAAATTTAATATGGAGAGGTCCCATTTTTACAGCAATGCTTGTCAATATTCTAAAGTTGACGTCTGAATTCTTCATTTAGAATAGTCTTCTTCAATCTCATTGCCTCCAGATGTTTGGATCACAAATTTTTGAATTCTTATCTAATATAACCTGAATTGTAATTCCAACACTACATGTTGGACAAGGCTGAACTGACTATTGTTGAAGAACCAGTTAAATTAAATCCAAAAGTGATCACTTGTTTGTTAAAATAGAAACCCAAAATCAATTTCCTATCGTGAGGCTGTCCAAGCTATCATGCGAATGGTTGTGGGAAATCATTACCAACTGAGTTACTTCTAGGAGTTTTCTTTATCTTGTGACACTTTGACAGTGATAATATGGACTTTATCAAAACATATATTTGAACATACTCACTTCTTGGCTTAGAGGAGAGTGATATGTTTCTACAATCATCAGATTCTGACAGCCAGTGATTTGATTTTGCTTAATTTCTACAGCAACGTATATAGATTAAGCATGAGTAATCTGGAGCATTTTGTGGTTGTCTGTCTCCTAGGAGCTCCAAAGCGTGAAGCAGATGGCTATAGTTATAGTGTACAGTTACTTATGGTTGTTTATTGAATGTCTTGCTAGTGAGGGACTTGTGCTCCTACATATACCACTATATCTTGGGTACTTTACCTTTTCTGTTGTACCAAATATTAAACTCTTACTTAGATAGTATATTTTCATAGTTTCTTCCCCTACACTTTGCTTCTTTTATTGTACGAAATGTACACTAGTGTATATTAAAATATTTGTAATGCAATCATAGAATTAGAACAAGGAGTTAGGCCATCAAGTGCAAATCTTTTCTGAGAGTAAAAATTCAGATGAAAGTTTTGATAACAATAGCTTTTTACTAGTCACAGATTCTTCATAATCAGTGCTTTGTTTTGATTGGATTTAGCATTTTAGCCATCTTATGATAAGTTGTCATAAGAATTACTTAAAAAACAAATATTTTTATGGTCACTTATCAAAAGATATTCACAATATTCCCTTAATGTTTTGATTCATAATTACATCACTCTTATTTTTTATCTTCTTTGCCTACAGTGCAGCTTTTTTCCACAAAACTGTGTACTAGAAAATAATGCAATTATGTTATGAATAATTATAAAATAAATAATATTGTCCTGCTTAGGAATCATAATATTTATTATCCCTAAGCAAGACATAAAAGCAGTTTAACAACTCCTGACTTTGAATCTTTCATTAATCTTTGTTGCATCTTCTTATCATAATAAATTGGGGAGAACTCACATCTTCTTCTGAGCTTCTGATAGCACACATTTTAGCAGCGCATCTGAACAGGATTGCCTGGTTTGTTACTTGTAGGATATTTTATCAGTGATGTATTTGGAACCTTTTTTTGCTTGTTCCTGCCATGCAAAACAGGTTTTAATGTTTACACTATCAGCTATCAACTATTGTTTAATTAATAAATAGATAAGTGTATAAAACATTGACTTTATAGATCCAAATGTTTTGTAGCTTAATAATGTAAGTAAATGAAAACACACATGGGCTGTGTTAATGAAAGAAGAAAATAAGATGCTAATGTATTTGTTTTTACCTTATGTTAGAAAAGGTACCCTATATTCTGGTGCTGTAGCTCTGTAATGCCCCCTGGTGGCTGTTATTTTGCATTTTGATGTCTCTGCATGATTAGTTATGCTCTGCTTGGACCATTGACATTTCATTATTTTGTTGCCTTTATTGTTTTGAAATGACTTTTGTTTATTTGTCTGTCTTAGGCCAAAGAACTGCCAACATTTAAAGACAATGACTTCATTAATGATGGTCAAAAAATTTACATTAATGAAGCCAACAAAAAGATGTTCCTTGAAAAGCTGAAAAAAGATGTTGAGGTAAGAATTCTAGACAAAGGCACTATCCTTGCCAGACGCACTTATACAGTTGTACCACCTAACTGATATGGCTGTTAACTAAAATATTTCAATATGTTCCTGTAAAGATACATTCAATATATGTGTATTCCGGAAAAATTCCTTTGGACCGCATCTCTCTCTGGTTGTTCATTAAAAGCAGCCACAATATTGTGGCTCAATGAAAACTAGAAAAAGGCAGCCTGCTTTTCATGAATATCAAAACTATGCAATGAATCAGGCAAGACAGAATTGATACCAAAAAGGAGGCACATCTCTCATATCCGTGAGTGACAGAAATGAAGCTGAAAGGACCTTTGCTGTCTGCACTGTCTAGGATTTACCACATTGGTTTAAAACAAGCTAGTAATAAACAATAAAGCCCTGCCTTTGGTCAAAAGCTTCACATCTCAAGCTGAGATTGATAATTTTGATTTAAATGCTGCTTTGTTCCCTGAAATATAAAATGATTACTCCCTTATGAAAAGGTGTAACATTCTAAGATGTTATCACTATGAAATAGTAATTCTGCCTCTTCTGTTCTTAAATAACTGAATATTCCTGGCATTTTACTTTGAATTGTTAATTTGCACTATGAATATTTGGTGATGTGACTGTGAAACATAGATCAAATTGTTTTTCCACTGTTTAAATCTAGTGGGTTCTTAAATGATCAGCTTTTGGTGATTAGTGCAGCATTCAAGCATATAAGAGCCATGGTGACATAGTGGTTAGAATGCAGTACTGCAGGCTAACTCATATTCGCTTCAGGAGTTTGATTCTGAGCAGCTTAAGGTTGACTCAACCTTCCAAGATTGGTAAAATATGGACCCAAATTGTTGGAGGCAATGTGCTAACTCATTTAGCCATTTAGGGTAAACCATTTAGGGTTGTAAAGGGCTGTAAAGCACTTATGTCTTAAGCGCTATTGCTATACCTTAAAATCCCTATATAAATATTATATTTGTATGTAAGCAATTACTGTAAGATAGTTTAGATGCTCAAATTGATAAAGAAAGATTAGAAATGCATCATAATTTATTTTATATTCATAATATTTTTTAAAAAATGTTTTGCTAAGAATTAGATCAGTAACTTTGCTTCTGCAAAAGATTGTGCTTTCCCATCAATTACATTTCAGTTTAAATGCATTTTATATTTCACACTGACTATATATTTTATTTTTTAGTGATTTTCCTCAGTCTGGTATGGTCCTGATATGTTAAGACTTCAGTTCCTATAATGCCTTGCCAATTTGTGATGAAAGCTGGGGATGATGAGAAGTCTGAGTTGATCAATAAATCTCAAAAATCATAGTGTTGTTTCTTTTTATGGGAAGAGATGCATTTTCTGGAGCTGTCTGATTATTCACTTAGTTTTCTGTTTTCATTCTGCTGTGCTCTAACTAATCAATATGCTTTCATTTTTTTAATGTATAGATAGGTTGTTTATCAACATTCCTCTTAGAAAGCTGGGGAGGAAGTAAATATGATACTGTTCCAGTCTTTCTTTCAGGATTGACTTTCAGGGCCCAAGTAAGCCTGATATTTTTCATGTGACTTTCTGTGGCTGGTACTTTTAACAGATAGCTGATATGGAAGGGAAGGAATCAAAATTGGATCAGGACTTTAGCAAAGAATTGTGTCTATCACATATACAATTTATTTCATTTGTACCTGCTACCAAAATGAATTGAAACATGGGGCAGTTCTTGAGATATGACTGGTCACTTAATGAATGTTCAGTTACAACAGACACCCCAACATTACATAATCTCTGTTTCAAACTTACAAAGGTTGCAGTGCTCCTATGGTCATTCACCATTAAAACTGACCACAGCAATGCTACAGTACCCTCTACCTCTGTCCCCATCAAACCCTGCCATAACTCCACAGTGCTTGGGCCTATTCCTCACACGTCCATCACCCATCGCACTTACCATTTGGAGCTCTCTGAACCTCATTTTGGGGATAGACAACTAGCCACATGTCCTACTCTCCTCCCTTGTAGGCGGCTCCATTGGTCTTGCCTTCTCTCTTCTCTCCATTTTCTGGGATTAGGAAGGGGGTGCTCCTTGCTCTTCGCCTGAGCTCTGTCTCTCCTGCTCCTGTCTATCTGCAAGCCTTTCTAATTCAGAAAAGCCTTGCCCGGATTGACTCTGCCCTTTCCCAGTTCCTCCAAGGCCAGTGGAGCTACCCTCTCGATCTCTGTCAGCTCTTGTTCCAGCTCATCTTTCCCCACAGATTCAGACTCCAACAAGGGCATGGCGATAAGTGAGGAGGGTGCTTATTCTGGTCAGGTGGGGGTCAGGCCTAAGGCCCACCTGACCTGGTGGGAGTGGGAAAAGGCCTGTGGAGATCCAAGGGTTGGGTAGTAGGGCACAGGGCATCTCAGGGAGTGAAGGAGGCTTTGAGAGGGCCATGGCATGTGGGCCTAGGTCTGTACTAGACTTCCAAGGGCCTCTTATACCCCTGAGGCACCCAATTCTTCATTTAATGGCCCAGGCATTCATTTAATGATTCATTGGGGAAAGCAGAGATGAGGGGTCATTAAATGAAATATTTCATCTAACAATTATTGTGACATGCAACCATAATGGGCAGATCCGTTATGGACATATCTTGAGGACTACCTGTGATGCAGACTTCAACATTGCCAAATATGGATTGTGGAAACAGAAATCCTGCAGGTTTGGGCATACATCAGATTCAGCTGCTTTAACTTTATTGTTATATCTTGAAATAGTTTTTGCATTTTTCATTAAACCCCATTTTTTTATTTTCACTTGAACAAATCTATGCTAGTAGAAACTAGCATTTGATGCAGTAAAGATATCACTTTCTGATAGATAATAGATTCCTTTTTTCTTGTTATTGCTGTGTAGTTCCTTGCTCAATTAAAACTCATGGATTACAGCTTGCTGGTTGGAATTCATGATGTTGAACGAGCCGAGCAAGAGGAAGTAGAATGTGAAGAGAATGAGGAAGAGGAAGGAGAAAGTGATGGGACTCACCCAGTTGGAACACCTCCAGATAGCCCAGGAAATACACTGAACAGTTTGCAGCCTTTAGCCCCAGGAGAATTTGATCCAACCATTGATGTTTATGGTATAAAATGCCATGAAAGTAAGTGGCTTTGCTATAAATTCTTAGACGTGAAGGGCATTAGGGTTTCTGTGCAATCTCTAAGTTTAAAAAAAAATGGATCAAAAATATGCTTTGTGGAGTTTCTTATTCACCCTAGTAGTTAACACTAGGTTAACTAAACTGAAACAAACAGTATACAAAATTATGGGTAGTCTGCGGCACAGTGTACAGCAATTTAACTTTGTATTTATATATTTCTACATATGCTTATCACACAGTGCATCTCAAAGCGAGTACAGAATTAATAACACATTAGAGTACAATAAAATGTATAGTAAATAATAGTAATAAATTTATAGACAGTAAATACAGCAGCTAAAGTGCTCTGGAACTTTAGAATTCAAACAGGCACCTGTCACATAATATCCCAGACTTAACTGGGATATTATGTGACAGTCAGTGAGAAAGACAAGGTCTGGATGGGACAGTACCTGGATGAAGCAGAAGAGAAAAAAACTGAAGGAAATCAGAAAATGCAAAGATCTGCAAATAGAGTAGAATCACTGGAGCAGAAGAAAGTAAAAATAGCATCAATAGTAATTGGAACCTTAAGTGCAATTTCAAAAGATCTAGAGCACAGCTCCCCACTCCCAGACCTACAAACCAGTCCCTGTCTGTGGTCTGTTAAGAACTGGATCATACAGGTAGAGGTGAGCAGAGGGCAAGTGAGCAAAATCAAAACCATCCGTGAAAAAATTGTCTTCTACGAAACCTTTCCCTGATGCCAAAAAAGTTGAGGATGAATGATCTAGAGCACCACTTGTATACCATCAGTACTGACAGATTCATCATCAGTCAATTACAAAAGGCAGCTTTACACAGATTAGTTTACATTCCACAGCAGTATCTCTAATACCATCAAATATCTACATCTACATCTACGTCTATCTAAGGGTAGGACCCAATAGAAGTATAAAAATGCCAAATCCAATTTGAACATCTGGCTGACTGGACAGTAAAACAATAAATATTATAAAACACAATAAAATAAAATACAAGCGCATAAAATCTACAGTTCATAATAATGTTATTTAGTTATTCCATCATAAACATCCATATTTGAAGGTAAATAGAATTATTTTCTGCAGCTGAGGGATATGAAAAAGTTGAGAAATGCCTAATTAGTACTTTTATATTACTTAGAAAATTTATTTACTAAACAATACTGTTTTCAATATTGTCAAATAAACCACAGCTATTGATGTGGGTGGATAGTAACAAAAAGTAAGTCATTGTTTTGGCAAATTTCCCAAAAATTTCAGTGTTTTCAGCAGAAAAGAAGCTCAATTCCATATTCCAGAGCAACACAAACCTATTTCTATTATCACTGTTTAGAATTGTTTCTATTTTTCTAAAGAGCTGCAGGGGCTCAGGGGTTAAAATGCAATACTGCAGGATAGTTCTGCTGACTGCCAGTTGACTGCAATTTGGCAGTTCAAATCTCACCAGGCTCAACATTGATTGAGTTTTCCATTCTTCTGAGTGGGTAAAATGAGGAGCCAGATTGTGGGGGCAATATGCTGACTCTATAAACCGCTTAGAGAGGGCTGTAAAGCGATATATAATTCTAAGTGCTATTGCTATTTTCTTTTATTTAGAAAATAAATAAAAATAGAAAAAATTGTTCTAAACAATTATAATAGAAATGGGTTTGTGTTGATCACCTGATCTGTGTTCATATAGCATTTCAAAATTGGCAGTAGATTTAACCCAAGTGCTGAAAGCACTGGAAAATAGATGCAGACATTATCATTTGGAGTTGTATATTAAAGCAACATAAATAGCCTCTTTCTGTTTTTCATTAAATCTTTGCTCCATAGTCAATATATTTGTGATAGTCATACCCAGAAGCAATCTATTTAACTTTGTTGAAACTTTCTTCCAATTATGATTGCAGATTAATTGTAAAATTCAAAAGAGTTCTGCAAATTGAGACAGAAGTATGGTACATCATATGTACATCCAATCTTCACATTCTTAGTCTCTGGCACTGCCTAAACGTGTAGTTGTGTGCTCCCACTTCTTTCAGTCCCATGTTCCAACAGTCTCATTTTCTTTAACAGATGGGTCAGAACTGAACCGTCATAAATGTGATAATTTTTAACAAAATAAAGGATTTCTAACCATCTTTTAAAGGAAGCTGACTTAACAAAAAAAAAACCACCTCTCTTTGGAAAAGAATGGGCAACTTTTTAAAATTTTGGCTCCATAGTGCTTAGCATTTAAAATATTGAAACATTATATATGCATTAACTTACTACTCTTTAGGAGCCAGTATAGAGCAGTAGATAAAGCATCAGATTAAAAATCAGGAGATTTGAGTTTTAGTCCCACTTTAGGCACATAACCAGGATAACGTGGTGCCGACCACTCTTTCTCAGTCCTAGAAAGCAAGCAAGGGCAAATCACTTCCAAAATCTTGCCAAGAAAACATCAGGGGATTGTTTCTTTGAGAAGAACACTGGCGCTCAAATCCACACATAAGTATATACTTCTCTTTATGTCAGGTCTGTAAGACACAATATATATGTGAAACTGATAATTCATTCAGATACGTTATTCAAAATTCATGCTAGATCTACAAAATTGGAGGCAGGGAGGATTATTGAAATCATCTAGAATAATGTTCACCCAATGTATGAATTCACTATTGTAGCATTTGTAAAATTGGCCATCCAGCTTCTGTTTAAACATCTCCAGCCAAAGGAAGTTACCTACATCCTGAATAGCCTTCTCCATATTGGACATATTGTCGCATTAGGAAATTTTTCCAGATGTCCAGCTAACATTAAAATCCACTGTTTCTTTTCCTGTCTTCTGGAACAGCTCTGAACAATTCTTCCTTCTTGTACATGAGAGCCCTTCAGATATACGAAGACAGCTGTCCTATATCCCTACAGTCTTTTCTTCAGACTAAACATACCTAACTTCTCCAAATGTTTCTCAGGTTTTTCCTTCTGGTACCTTATCATCTTAGTATACTTTGCAGTCAGGAGTATCTTATCTGATTTTAAACTTTTAGGAACTCGTATCTTAGTTGTCTTCTATCGCACCTGTGCAATATAAACATTTATTGATGGAATGTGCACAGATTTTCTTGCAGTTTAAGGTTAAGTTTTAATCTTATAAGCCACCTAGAGTCACATGTGTGAGATGTGTGGCTATATAAATCAAACAAATAAAGTAGAATAAAAACAGCCGGATTCTGCCTGCCTTTTATACCCAATTTTAAATGGCTAAAACACAGCTGATTTTAAGAGGTTTAATAAAATGTATCATATTTGAACTCATCCCCCAACCCAGTAACATATCATCACAATACTCTCTATTGTCAGAATTGAAGTACTTTTGTCCAGACTGATTATGTAGGTTCAAATTCAAAGTGTGAATTTGGTGAAGCGATTATATCAATTTATAATTATTTATTTAACAATCTCCTGTGGTACGGTTTAATTTTATTTCCCCCATCTCTTCCCCACTCCCTTCCCCTCAGATGCAGCTAGAAAAGAGGTATACTTCATGGCTATTATTGACATTCTTACTCATTACGATGCCAAAAAGAAAGCTGCCCATGCTGCAAAAACTGTGAAACATGGGGTGAGTAGGTCTCCGTTGCACTGTCCTGTCAAGGAGTTTCAAGGGTTGGACTGTTAAAGGGTTTTCAGATTAACATGATTATATTCCCCTGACTCTCTTTATTTGAGGGCCTGTCTACAATGAGGAGTGATCAGATGTCAGAAATGTTACTACTTTGTCTCACAAAGCAGTCATAAAAGTGTGGCTCAGTTAACTTTAGAAATTTGTTCTTGAGTGAGATTGAACCATTTTCAAATTACATGGCCTTCTGAAGGGATTTTCTCTTTTACTTATGAGACACCTAAGGTGATTATAAACCCTAAATAAATTCTGGAAAGAGTCTGAAGATCTGTAAAGTAGAATCTTCCTTGCAGAACAGAGAAGGCAGTTTTCATTGGTTCAAGAATCACCCCAACTTTTGAAAAACACATTGAAGACTTCTTTCAAACTTTTCTCAAAGGGTGGGCTAGGATCTATGTGGGGAGTATGGAGGTTTGGGCTTTATTAAAAGGTTAAAAAAAATTAATTTAAATCCCCACATAGTTTATGATACTATTTCATCCTGCCCTCTTCAGGGCACCATATACTTTTTATATCCCAGTACCAAATCATTTTAAAATTCTGTGTACTGTAAATGGGTATGCTTTATTATATGACAGCATTTTATTCACATAAAAGTGCAATTACATTAGAATAAGATAAAAGATTGGAATAAATAGATCTTGAATGAATGTTTGCTTCCTTCAATTTCTCTGGTATTTTACCTAATAAGAGTATCTGAGAAGATTCTAGCTCAGCCTCCTCCTTTCATTTCTTTTCTTCTCCCCTTCCTTCCCTCCCCTCCTTCCTTTCCTCTCCCCTGGATACACACCCTTCCTAACAAATCTGCTATTTGCTATTCCTTATTATCTTTATTTTCAATGAATGTCTTAAGGTTAATAGCATTAAAAACATTCTTTGAAATAAAGAGTATATTTGAGATACATGCTACTTTTTCACTTTTTTAAAAAAAATAGACTGAAATAGACTGAAAAATAAAATTGGACAGATCATGGAGCCTTCGGGCATAAAGGAAAGTATATTTAGACAATCTTCTCCTATCCTAATTTGGGAATTGGAATAGCTGAGCATAAATGAACAACATCAGATTGGGAAATAAAGATGTAAATGCCCTAAACTTTTAAATTTAATTTGTGTCTCATCATCATCTTCTGGTTTTACAGGCTGGTGCAGAGATTTCAACAGTTAATCCTGAACAGTATTCAAAACGATTCTTGGACTTTATTGCCAACATCTTAACGTAACCTAAATGCTCTTTTGGACAGTATAAGGTCTGGAAGAAACAGAAAATTGCTACAAGTGTGTAAGGGGTCTTTAAGAAAGCTTCTTTTAAAAGGAACTCGTTCTCTCTTGCAAAAGGCAGCCCATACCCCGCCCTACCCATTTACATCTGCTGGCAAAGATGACTTATTGGGGTGAAATATTTGCTTTTACAGCTGCCTGATTATGCCCAGCATAGTTTTAGCTATTTCTGACGTGTGTGTGTGTGAGATTGTATGTGTGTATGAGTGTGCAAAAATGGATATAAATTAACTAATAATAACTAAAATAGATAGCTCCTACTTAATGTGCATTGCAACATCTCTCTGTGGATATTAGCTGAAATGGGATGAATGGGGAAAAAGGATATTGTGTAAAGGGAAGAAAAATCTATGTGCATGTTGGGACCTACAATATTGGAATCAGAACTGTAAACTGTGGATCAGTTTAAAATTTGAACTGAAAGATGCAAGATAATATTGGCGGTAATTATGACTCTGATCTTATTGTGAATGTTACACTTAACAAACCTGCATGTTTGCACTCCTTAAGAATAACCCCCATTTGCTGGAAGCTTTTCCTCTTGGCAGTTTTTTTTTAACCTATATTACTAAGTAAGCCCATTGAGACAGGAAAGAGTCTTCCAGCAACACAGAAGTTTGGCTCTTGTTTTATTAAATTCTGATGCCATAATAATTCTGTGTACTTGCCAAGGGAAGACTCATTTTGAGGATCAGGGTAGAAGAAATATAGACTGTTTAATTGTCTTGTAACATGGAGATTTTGCATTGTATGTTTATCATATAGAAACTGAGTATAGTATAAAGAAAATCAAATAGCTTTTTAGAAAAAATGTTAGGGGTAATAATGGCATTTTTCCCACATGAACAAAGGTGTAGAAAGGTTTGCTCATCTGTAAGAGATCAAAAGAAGACATCAAATGCTTACATGTGCTGTTTTTAAAATATTTTATTAAAATATTCTTTTCTAAGCCCTATATTTTATTGTTTACATTGAAAGGAAAACAGGGATGCTCTTGAGTTGGTTAGAGAATCTGAAGTTTACATGTAAAGTTACTTTGCAGTACGGATAAAGTAATTTCTTGAACTGTAACATGCAGTAATGTATCAGAGCAGATATTTTATTCACCCTTGTGATAGAATCTTTTTTTAAGTGCTATTTTAATTATATTAATTTAGCTCTCTCTCTTTCTCTCTCTCTCTCTCTCTCTCTCTCTCTCTCTCTCTCTAAATTATATTGTTTAAATGATTACCTAAAACTCTGTTATTCCCTACAATCTGCTTGTTTTATTTTTGGAGGTTTTGAAAAGGACAGAATTAGAGATGTTCAAATTATATTCTGTATGTATGCAATGTGCAAAAACAATGTGCCTTTTAAAATTCTTTGTTTAAGTAGACATTCATAGGCAATTTTTAAGAAGAAATCACACCCTGCAATTTATAATTTTATTCCTGGAGTGCCAGATTGCCTTCTCTATTAATATAATGATAGTACAGCTACAAATTCAAGACATATAATGTTAACTAGAAAAATTCTGATAAAATAATAACTGGTCTTGCAAGTCTTATGTGGTCAAGAGCAATATCATCTCTATTAAAAGCTGTGGGTTATTTTTTAGAAAGGTTTTATTACCGTTTTAAAATATCTCTCAATAGGTTTTCTTTTTTTTCCATAATAATGCTTAAAAATTAATAGGTTCTTTTAAAATAACTAATCCTGATGCCTCATATTTAGTCCAGAAAAGAGTTGAGGACATTTCAAAGCTAAATATGTATTTGTGTGTTCATGCAAAAGCAAATTACGCAGGCTTTCAAGACCAATTCCAATGGGAATTTTATTAAATGAGCTAATTAGAACTGAGGGGAACCTAGTATTAATATACATAATATATATGCTAAAGGCATTGAATTATCTTGTTAGAATCTGTAAAGACACTGGAAGAGATCCCTGGCTGATCCTGTGGAGATCACTGGGACCAGCCAGTGTAGACAACATTCAACTACTCTAGGATACATGGTATATTTAGGCAAAAAAGAATTTTTTTTCTTTAAAGTACCAACAAAAATGCTGCTGTCTCATTTCACTGCTCGGGGTACTTCGCAACAAGCCATATAAACTATCAGTTACTGCATGAGAAAAGAGGCATTGATTATATTTGCTCCACACAGCCTATGTTGTTCTTTTTCTTTTATATAGTTATAAATGTCTACAATTGGTTGGTTTTTGTTGCCTAACGCTGTTGCTAATTTCAATATTTTAATATATGTCAGCCGTGGCACATCTGAATAGTATATGCCTTTCCTTAACAATTTTAATTTTATTTGGTGTTTCAGAATATAAGTGCTGTTTTAGGTTTTAATAATCTATTCATGAACATGATACTCAAAATCGTGTCCTTTGGTTTTAGATAACATGGCAAAAGTTTTGAGTTAGGGTAAAATGAATAGTGGTTAATAATTGATTTGAAGGGATAGAGGACGCATATATATTATTCCTAAATATCACACCTATTTTAGAAACTCCTTTGAACATATTGCTCGGGCTCCAATTTGTTTTTATAACATTCATGCCTTTAAACTTTTTATTCTCTATAAATGAACTCCAAATTTCCACAGGGAAGATATTGTTTAGTGTTTTATAGACGAACTATGTCCCAGTTGATACATGGCCACTAAATGAAGTGGTACCTCTATTCTTATATGAAGTTCTACTGGTTCAATTGGATATGTAATGTAATTGGATGGACAGTCACCATAAATGCTACTACCATGGGTGACTTTTCAGGATTATTAATAAATGTAATTTTATTGCATTACAGATTGTATTTTCTCACTTATGTTATTCTATATCAGAGGTCTCCAAACTTGGTGACTTAAAGACTTGTGGACTTGAATTCCACCAATCTTTAAGTTGCCAAGTTTGGGGATCCCTGTTACAATCCTAGGCTCTTCAAATAAGGCTCCCTGACATTATGGGCATATATACTGCTTTGAGCTTCAGTACAGATTAAAGTGATAGATGTAGTTCTCTAAATGACAAATGCTCCCAGTACTAGTTCCTTTTTGTATTTCCTCTTAAATTAATATACAAAAATAAGATCTGCACATTTCCTTAAGGCCAATATGCAAAAAGTGGAGCCAAAGGTATTGGATCTTTTTATTTTATTGCATTTTTTGTCTAATTTTGCAATTTCAAGGGTAATCTGCAGGGTTTAAGATATCCATTTCATCCTTTAAAAGTTCTGAATGCCCATCTGGATTTCAACTCCACACACATTACTAGTCTAGCTCCTAACATGGCACATAAAGTGTGATGCAGTTCTTGGGGAACATGCATGTTCATATTTCCAAATGTTACCTTCATTTTGTTTCTTTTCTCTATGACAAACACGGTATGTCTTTCAGTTTTCATCCCCCCCCCCACCTTGATTATTTTTCTGCTATATTTTTTAAAAGGCAGGATAGGTTTTGTGAGAGCATCATTCCCCTAAAAAAAGAATGTTCATTCTGCTTCATTTGTAATAGTCATCATTTCTCCAGGCTATTTCTACCTGACTGGTTAATTATTATACTTATCCCCAGTTCTGTAGTTGGATGTCTCCTTTTATCAATAAGACAAAACAATGTTCTTCATAAGTAGCAAAACTTTTTAAAAAGGTTTAAATATGTAAATAATCTACAAATATGGGTATTGCTCCTCTTTGGATGCATGGCATTCTCAGTAGTTCCTACAAGCTAATATACACAGGTGACATTGTTTCTTGGGAGCTTATATTTTAACTTTTGCCACAATCTCTCTCTTTTAAACATTTGGGTATATTGATGTATATTATATTGCTTTGTCATTTTATAACCAGGGCACTTAACCCTAATTTCTAATTTCTTCCAAGTTTTAGTTGTGTTTTTCACTCTGACTGCCATCTGTAATGGAATTCTTATCTTCTGTCCTATTGTTATCACAAAGAAAGGTAGCCTTTTTTTTTCTTTTGCACTGCTCAGTTTGGTTAACCTAGTCCAGGAATTCTATTGTCCTTGATTGAGCTCCATTTTCCTAATAATTTCTTGCAGATGTCCAGGTGTGATTGAACCAATTAATGGTTTAATACTATGGGTCATCCATCAGGTAAATTCCAAAATGGTTAAACCGTTGCTTTTCTAATTTAATACTGTTTCATTTAATTTTCAACCCAGCTTCTTGTTTAATGACGTCTCCATCCTCAGAATATCATATGGAATGTCAGAAGACTTAGTTTGAAAATGTCATGGTTGCAAATTGCAATAGCACTGCTTTGGCGATACTATTAACTAGACACTCCCAAAATAACTCAGTGTGCAAAGTGCCTATTACTATTGATAGTTTTTCTATTCTCACCTTTATTCTCCTGTCCCAGTTTCTTCATCTTAAACTTCATCATTCATGACTGCAGATTCCTATTTAATATTTCATTTTTTTCCTAAAATTCCCAGTGTTTATTTCGTTTTGAATAAGTTCAAGTTCAAATAAGTTCAATAAGTTTTGATGTTCTTTAAACAATAATTACCTGTAAATAGAATGGACAATATGTCCCCCATAATTTAGAAATCCTTAGCAAAAGTACTTTGGAGAATGAAAGTAGCATCATTCTGTATCTACCATTGGATCCCAGGAAAATGCATGGCTGTTTTAAAGAGCTGCTCACAGGGAGTATGTTTGTGCAACAGCATGGTTAGAATAATTTCTTTGGATCTAAGCAGACTCCAGATAAATAGCTTTAATATTCCCTTTGTTTGATTGCAAAAACTTGGTTTATGTGTTATACCAAACAAAATGTGATTGTTTGACTTTATGAACCCACTTGATGTTTGTAAAGCATATTTTATGACTTAATATTTGGGTGGATTCAACCAATAAATTACCCCATCCAATAGTGGCCACTGTAGTTCTAATCTTGAAACTGATACTGGCAAGATCCATCCAAATTTAAGTGCAACCTTCAGTTATGTTAGAGATGTATAATGAGTCAATAAATTGCAAGCTTTCCTATTCTGAATACAATATGGAAAAATATGAGTGTGTTTAATTCAAGCTTCTGCATTCTGATTTATTGAGAGCTGTGTCTATCCATGATAGAGCAACCAATTCCATTTGTAATGGTGTCTGCTATTTATTTCTCTTTGTCTTATGGGCCCATTTATTGTGAATTATGTTGGTTTCACATGTTAGTATTTACAAATTGTCACATGTTGATTTTATACAAAAATGAGCTTTTAGTTTGTTCAATTAAAGAGAATAATTTTTGCTGTTGTAACATACCTTATATAGAAACTTAAGCTAGCATATTTTAATATATCATTACTATCAAACAGTTCATTGCAAATCACACTACCCTTTTAATAGTTAGATTCAAGTTACAAAGGTTACTGGATTTGAAGTTCATAATTTCTTGGGACTCTTAACACAGTTCTTTTAAAACATTTTGTGGATTAATACTCAACCATGGTCGGAATCCATATGTTGATACGTTTATTATAAATTACATAATTGATAGAAAATTTTATTTTACCAGATAGGTTATTGATAGAAAATTTTATTTCACAAGATAGGTTATTTATAAGTGAATATATCACTCTGATTCGATTCTGTGTATTTTTAAGTTTAATAAACAATTCTGAAAAGGAATCTGAAATTTAAAACTTGAGTAATATGCTCTACAGTTGATCTAAGGAATGGTAGACCCTAGCATAGTTTCTTTTAGCAACAGTGAAAATATATGAGCCAGGCTTCCTATTTACTTTTAACATTTATTCAATGTAGCACGATTATTAGAAGACAGGAGTGAGATATATTTGGATAACAGAATATGCTAGGAATGCTACTCTGTACATTAGGCATACCTAGATTTTTCTTACGATCCCAGTATACCTGTTTCAAGATGTCCATTCGTCTCCTTCTAGAATCGGATTGGTTCTAAATTGTACCATTATGTTATCCTCCTGGTGATGTTAATAGTACTGTAATGTATGTGTAGAACTCTGTATTTTTCTGTATTAAGTTGATAACTGGCTTCAGTTTTTTATTCCTTCTCTCATACATGGAAAACTCCTGATCAATTTTGTATGAATGTTATATTTCTTACAATATACAGTGGCTTCTAAGTTTAATGAGACTACAAGAATATTTCTGGGAGAACATGTTACATTAAAGAATTACAATTCCATTATGGCCAATTACCATATGTGTTTAATCAAATAAGTTCAGCACCCTTTTCTGTCTGTAATTGTCTTTGCCATTCATTATCTGTCAAAACTGTTTGGAGAGGTGAGGAAGTTTTACATTGTATCACCTATCTCTAAAAATACACTCTAGATATGAATAAAGCTTTATAAAATAAAGCACTTTTGATTTGCTAGGAAACTCTGTCTCTGCTTGTGTTTGTATCCTTCGGACGTTTATGTAGCAAATCCACAATAGCCAAATTCTCATTGATTTACAGTTGATGGAACATCTTCCCTAAACTTCGATCTTAAATGTATTTTATAATACGCCATAATACTTATGCCAACTTGAAATTGGGGGCTATTCAAAGTTCATGATGGCAAATTGAGAGAAGATTGTTTATGACCTTCCACTTTGTTGGAGAATGGAACTTGAAGGTAACTTACTAAGAAGAAGGGGAGATAGCTTTCTATGGAAATGGAATTATGTGTCATTATGAAAATGTGCATATAAAGGTTTAGTTGCACAATGCAATTCTATTAAAATGGTCTTAATGATCTTATAATGGTTGGTCCTAATGATCTTATAAACATGTACAGCTAGATTGAAAAAGTTTGTTTAAAAAAATAGTAGGAAAGTATTCCTAGGAAAATATTAAAATCCCCCAAGTTGAAAGATACACATCAGAGAGGGTTATTGATAAGTGTTTAAAGCCGTCTCCATTCTAAAGACATGACATGAAACCAAAATCTGCCCCAAAGCAAAGGATGGAATTCTGATCAAGGCTATAACAGTAAGTCTATATATAAAACTCACCTGTATCTTATTCCATTTTTCCTTTGGAGAACAGTTATTTATGAAATGCCATACATTTGCATAAAATGTTAGTCCCACTTGGATGCTTGGTTTAGTCTTATTTTTATCCATTTTTACTTGTCTCTCACATTTCCTCCTTCATTTAAAACTTATTTCACAGACCAAGAACAACAGATAAAGATGGGGATGGAACAATAATTCCAGTAGCATTGTTTTTCTACAATGACTAATGAATATATTACCCCCATATTTGTAGTCTTTGCATTTTCCTAATAGAGAAAAAAGTTGCTACTGACTCCATAGGAGGAACTGTTGTGCTTTTCTTATATTCCCCGTGGATATCATCAGAATCAAAAATGATAGAAGTTAATATGTTTTTAATCTGCAGCCAAGTGCCATGGGTAACTCCAGGAACCAGTTGCCAATAATTCTGCTATACGGTCATCTATAAAAAAAATACTGGTGTATTATATTCCAAATATTCTCCCTTCATGTGAGTGTGGTTCTCTAGTAGCTAAAGACCTGCAGCTCAGAGCACTGAAACTTTGTTAGGATGACTATGATCAATGTATCAGCCACATGTTTCCATCTCTCTGGTTTTTCAGATTAGCCCACTTTATGAAGAGAATGAATTTGCCACTTAAAATTAAAAGTCGGGAATTCATTATAATTTCCAAATGCCTATCATTACCAGATGCCTATAAATAACGTTTAAGCAACGTGTTTTTAAAAATGCAGTTCTTCTGCATTCATGATTTTCTTTGAATTGATTTTAAAACACCAATTCCCCCATTTGGTTAAGAAAAATATATGAGAATTTCTTTTAAGTAGTCAAGAAAGATCAGTAATACCTTAAAAGAAAATACTATTTCCTACAATGCATGCAGTGCTGGATAAATCTGGTAATTAGCGGTAGCTTACATCTCTTTCAAAATGGGTAAAATAGTTCTAAATCGGAACCTAAGGATTGGATGGAATGTTGCGGATCTATAGCAATATAATTCTGAACACCAATGTTAGCTACCTGCAACAGAACAGCTATGAAGAATGAGGTCCAACAAGTATTATTAAACATAACTTTCAGGGTTTGTGCCATTTGGTGGTGCTGGAAGATTCAGCAATTCTTGTGCTACAATTCCCTATTTTTTCCTCTAAAAAAGAACTGCTAACTAGAAAATTCTGTGGGCTGCTCTTTTTGGGGTTCTTTTATTTAGCACAGGATATTGGCAGCCTAGTCCAGGGCAAAGAGAAGTCTAAAAGATAGCTTGGTTTCCTAATAGATGCCAAGAAAGTTTCAGTATGTATTTAGTTATTAAATCCAAGCATTGTCATTTCTTTCTATGCATTTATCAGAAAACAGTTTCTGAGGTATTCATGCTTAAATCAACCAACAACAAAATAGACTAAAAGCAAACTTTCATACAAAAAATAAGATGTCTATTAAAAGCAGGTTAAAATGGTATAATGCCAAGTCCTTGAACCCTAGAGGAATAAATTGTTTAAAATGTCTTCTTGGGAAATGCATGTACTGAAGTTGATAAAATGCAGAGTTGGTTTGGTAACACATTTGTTTTTGCCACACAAGTGAGATGCTCCAGCAGGCTGATATGAAATAAAACATCCTGTCAGAGTTGCAACAAATTGCCCACAGATAGCTGTGCTTTTCAACTTATGAATTGCTAAAAAAAACAAGTCTCCTTCATTCTAGGAGGCAGTACTTTCTCATAAATCACAGGATATGGGAGAAAAATACTCTCCTTTAAATAGAATTTATCATAATGCAGAATCTAATTGCCCCATTGAGTAGATTAAGGCTACTATAAAGGATGCTCCAACTGATGGGTCTTGATAGCTCAAGCTTGAAGGGCCTCATCTGACCATATTTTTGACAAATATTTTGAAGCAGTTGATTTAGCAGTCACCAACTTCAGCTGATCAAAAACCCAGTTTTAAACAAATGAGTCAGAACTATTATATTTGTCCATTGATTTGATCTTAAAGCTGCTTGTCTTCCTACCTATCATCTATGCAGGAATTGGAAGGCATAAAAGCAGGAAAAAGCCAGAAATATAGTGAGAATAAACATTGGTAGTGGGTCCCAGATTCAATGTCTGCCCTCTCAAATTAAACAATGATGGGAATTAACATCTGTGCTGGCATCCTGGATAGTGGCTATCCACATCAATAGCTTTGCTATAAAAAATCTTATATTGCTATTTGAACTTTATAATCAATATATGATACTACTTTCCCAGAAAAACATTTATTCTACTCATCATAAACATCCCCTTTAGCTATATTATTGTGTGTAATATGAGAAATCCTACTGTATTCTTTTTACCTGAAATATGGCTCTGCTGCTAAGGCTCAAGTGAAAAATCTTTTGTTTTAGTCATTCTAACTACCTGGACGTCCATTTGCAACAAAGCAATACTTTGATCCTTTATTGACTTGAATCATGTATTTAAACAAGGATGATATAGGGCACACAAGTCATTTCGCTCACCTGTAGAATGGCAGTTTTACAGCAAAGGCATGGCTTTTTAAAAACGTAATCAGATAAAAGGATTCAGCTGAATTCAGGAGTATGTCTTGAATAGAAAATAGGAAAATATTCTTTCTGGTAAATCATCATGCAAACATTGATCCAGTGAAGCAGGGCCAGTCTGTATACATGAAATTATGCTGGGCATGGAATATTTTACAATGTGTACAATGTTGTTTCAGATCTGCTGGGGATAAACAAAAGTTGGGTTCAAAAAAAAAGCCACAACTGTTAACCTGATAATCTTTTCTCCAGGCAAGAAAGTATTTTAAAATACAGATGTGCAAATGGTTCCAAATTCACTTCAGTGGAATCCAGTTCTTGAAAATGCAAAAACAATTCTCTTAGTTAAAGATAAATCAGACAGCTGTCAGAAATCCTACATTTTTGTTTAGCATCAAGAGCAAAATAAAACATTTAAAGATACCTTCTTGAAATTTCAAAATATGGGCTTTGGACTGACTGGCTCAAAACCTTAATGTCTTTTTAAAAGTGTCAAAAAAGCTAACGATTTTTTTAAAGCTACCTTTTCCTTCTATGTGTACTGAATGGACATTGCTTGAATCTACTTAATAATTTTCTAATGCCAGAACCCTGTTGTGTTTGAGAAAATAGATCATAGTTGTATAAAGTTAGACTGTATGTATTTTAAAACTCCTTTTAGTACTGTGCAGAGAAGAGACAAACAGCACAGGAAACATGCTGACAAAATTGTTTATTAGTTCCTTGCTGGCCTTTCACTCCTATGAGAAACTTCTTACATGTTTCAGGAAGCAAGAAGTTAATAAGATAATTTGGAGAAAATGGAGATAGAGAGAAAGGGAAAATATTAGTGTCTTTCTTTCCCCCCCCCTTCAAATTTTGATTGTCCCACCCTAAAATTAGATATTTACATATTAATCAGATTTCTCTTGTTCAAAATGAAATGTTATAACCATTGAGAAAAGCAAAAAAATAAGAAGCAATGATGTTACTCAGATCAAGTTTGTAATTTTTGTTTTGAAATGTTAAGCCTCTTGTTAATGCTTCAACTGAAGTTATAAATTTATAACAATTTAGCAGGTCATTGTAGGTGTGGGTGTGTTTCCATATATGTACGTTCAAACACAAAAAAGTCATGAAAAAAACTCCAAATTAATTTTTTAAATGATCAATTAAAATCCAGGCAGTTGAATTTGGTGAAAGTATT